TGTGCAGCTATGATTGTCTGTGAGGTCTAATTTCACGAGTTCCAGTTGCAGTCAAGTCGATTATGACTCATAGCAGCCCCTTGTATGTCAGAGTGGAATTATGTTCTGTACGATTTTCAATTGTTGATTTTTTGGAAGTAGATCACCAGGCCTTTCTTCTGATAAAGACTCAGACAGACCTCTACTCTCTCAATCAGTATCTAGAAGTGTTAACGGTTTACACCACTCAGGGGATTCCACCTTGGCCATGGCCATTTTAATTTACACATTAATAATTTTGTTTTCTTCCTTCTCTTTCCATGCTGGTAGCACTATGATCTTGGTGCAGAGCATCTAGCTCTTCAAGAACATGTTAGATGAGGTGAGGCACTTGATTCCAATTTACTGGTAACTTTCTGAGATGGATGATGTTGGAGACATCAATGCCCATTGCATTATCTACCCACAATGCATCAGAAGAGAAAAGGAAGAAGTACCAGATTCTGAAGAGACTCTGCAAAAACATTAAGAAACTGTGAGTAGAAAAGGGGGAGAAGACATGAGAGGTGAGGCTGGATTTAGTGAGCTGGGAAAACAGACACTCCTTGATTTCTTGAAAGTTCTCTGGTGCCTCAGTCACCATCCTCCCTGGGCCTCAGCAATCACAGCCCGAGCTGTAGCACCAACAGCTCCCGAGGGACCCATGGCTCCCATATTTATAGAGAACTTAGAAAACTGGAGCCTCTGGTGTGAGGTAGGCAACGGAGAGCACAGAGAAGTCAAGAGGCATCCTTACAACTTCCGTGGTACCTGGCCAGACCTGGATTAAGCCCACTACCTTTGCTTGGCTTCACCTGCTCTATTGTAGCTCCTGGTCAAACTGAGTGTCTGCTGTGGAACTTGGACTTGGCAGACACTGAAAGGCTACACTGGATAAGAAGTCTGCTTTGAGGAGAGAACACTGTATTCCTGCCTCAGTCCTGGGGCTGTTTATAACTCTCCTTAGAGTTCATAAAACCGAGTCCATAACACAACTTTTATTACACAGTAGGGATATTTATTTCCCTAATAGGAACATATGGGGATGAAATATAATCCCTTCAAAGCAGAAGACAGCAAGGAAAAAAAATCACATCATTTTAAATGGCCACTCGGAAGTCATCAAATGTTATTACCAGAGGGAGATTGTGGATACTGGACGAGCAAAAAGTCCCTGGGATGGGCTCAATGCCTATCCATCAATGCACGTTCCTTTTAACAATAGTAGTGTGAGCACTGTTGTTGTTGTTAGATGCCATCAAAGTCAGTTCCAACCCATAGCCACCTTATGTATAACAGAACAAAACACAGCCCTGTCCTGCACCATCCTCAGTAATTGCTGCTACTCGTTAGCTCATTGCTGTGCCACTATGCCAATCCATCTCATTAAGGGGGTCTCTGTCTCTCTCCTTTTCACCAACCCTCCACTTTACCCAGCATGATTTCCTTCTCCAGGGACTGGTTCCTCCCGATATTATGTCTGAAATATGAGAGACAAAGTCTGGCTATCCTGGCTTCTAAGGAGCACTCTGGTTGTACTTCCAACACAGAATTGTTTGTTCTTCTGGCAGTCCACAGTACTTTTAATATTCTCCTTCCACACCATAACTCAAATGCATGAATTCTTCTATGGTTTTCCTTATTCATTGTCTAACTTTCATATGCATATGAGGCTACTGAATATACCATGGCTTGGGTCAGGTGTACTTTAGTCCTTAAACTAGTATCTTTGCTCTTGAACACTCTAAAGAGGTCTTGTGCATCAGACTTGTGTAATGCAATAAGTCACTTGATTTCTTGATTACTGCCTTCCATGAGTGTTAATGATGGATCCAAGAAAAATGACAATATTCTGGTGCTATTTCTCATGTTTCAACATTTAATATTATGGTGCTATCTGACAGTGTTTGACTGCTATTCATACGTTTCAGAGGCTAAACATTCAGTAAACTGCTTCTCCTTTTTCCAAGTCTGTCTTATTCTGGAAGCTCAGCTGAAACCTGTCTACCATGGGTGACTTTACCGGCATTCAAAATACCGGGGACATAGCTTCCAGCATCACAGACAATATGCAAGCCACCACAACGTGACAAACTGACAGACGAGTGGTGGAGTGCATGCATTAGGCAAGTGTAACCATGTGGATCAGGTATGCTGGTAGCTAGTGAGTGGCCGTCAGAGGTTAGTTAGTGATGTGGACTTTCACCTACTGTGTGCTTGCCTGGTACTGTCCAAAGCATTGGGGATTTAAAGATAGTCCTTGTTCCAGAGGTGCTTGCAATCTAGACAAGGACACAGACAAGTAAATACTAAATTCACAACATTATAGCAATCACAGCAGAAACCAGTGGAGGCCATGACTGAACTCTACACTGCAAGTATGGACAAAAGCGAAGAATATGCTATCTGTAGACTAGTATAAACTCACTTCCAAGCAAGGCTGATAACTGGTGCTGACACTCAGTTCTGAAATGCATAGAGAGAAGTCAACTATCTTGTTGGGGAACAGTGGGCAAGAATGTTCCAATTAGCATCTCTAGAATCTTGCAGACATAGAATTAACAAGCTAAGTTTAGTTATCAAGCCACAATGTCTTGGTAAGTACCGTCGAGTTAATTCCGACTCATAACAACTCTGTATAGGGTTTCTGGGGGAGTGCCTGGTGAATTTGAACTGCCAACCTTGGGGTTCAAACTGACTGTGCAGTCCAGTGTTTATCCTACAGCACCACACCAGAACTCTAGTAATAGGAGAGGGGGCTGGAAAGGGAATCTGGCACCAGATTATGAAGTCTCTGAGTGCCATAGTAGAGTAAGAGTTTCTTCTATAGAACAGTGGGGAAACTGAGCTTTTAAGCAAGAGAAATGAGTATCTGTGTGTCTCAATTTCCATATCCGTGAAACTAGGATCAGATCCCAGGTGGTACCAGTGGTTTGTGACTGACTGCTAACTGAAAGCTTAGTGGTTCAAATCTAAGCTTTGAAGCTCCACAAAAGAAAGGCCTGTTGGTCTGCTTCTGTAAAGATTACAGATAACCCTATAGGGCAGGATTTACTCTGTCAAACATGACTTATGTGTTAGGGGTCACCAATAACAACACAACTGAAATGAATGGATTGGATTTGATCAAAAATTCTGTATGCCACACAAATGAGCCCCATGTTCTATTTCTGTCTCCTACAAGCCTCGAATGTGGTATCTGATAATATATTCGTGAGACACTTTGCTTTTGCACCATAATATAATTTTCCTGTTAGCCTTTCATCTGTTAGTACCAACAATCAAAATGTAAATTAAAATGTATTATCTATACAAGGTTGCTGTAAGTCAGAACCAACTCAATGGCACTTAACAACAACAACAGCAACAACATCTAATACACCAGAGTCCTGATGTGGTACTGTAGGAGAAGCACTGAACTTAAACCTGCAAGGCTGGTAGTTCAAACCCACCAGTCACTCCTTGGAAACCCTAAACAGTGTTGCTATGAATCAGAATCAACTCAACAGCACTTAACAAACAACAGCAACATCTAATATATCAAACCATGGTATTTTCAATTGCCTCATATGTGCAAGAAAGTTGGACAATGAATAAGGGAAAACCACACAAGAATCAATGCACTTGAATTCTTGTGTTTTAGAGAAGAGTATTGAAAATACTGGAGACCATCAGTGAACAAACAAATTTGTCTTGGAAAAAGTACAGCCAGAATTCTCCTGAGAAGTCAGGGTGGTAAGACTCTGTCTTTGTGAACATGTTGTCAGGAGGGACCAGTCCGTGGAGAGAAACATCATATTTGTAAAAATGGAGGGTCGGCAAAACAGAGGAACACCCCCAATGAGATGGACTGACACAGTGGCAGTAACAGTGGACTCGAATATAGCAACAAATACAAGGATAGCGTAGACCCAGACAGTGAATGTCATTCTGTTGTGCATAGTATTGCTATGTGTTGGAACCAACTCAACAGCACTTAACAACAACAATCTAATATCTAAGTAAATAATAAATTCAGATAATTTCAATAAAATCATTAATATTTTATAGCTGTTGACTCAAGACTTGTTAATTTTCTACATTTAGGTGTCCTCTATCCCTCAGTGGGGGAGAAAGATGAGGCTTCAATTGCCCATAAGATTTACAGTGCTTAACAACAGTAGTAACCTTATCCCTACTGCGGGACTACCACAGACACTAGCATTTCATTATTTATAAATGAAATGATTGTTGTTAACTGTCATGGAGTGGATTTTGACTTACAGCGACCATGGGTAGGGTTTCCGAGGCTTTAAATCTTTTGCGGGAGCAGAAAACCTCATCTTTCGCCCGCAGAGTGGCTGGTGGTTTCAAACAGCTGACATTGTGATTCGCAGTCCAGTAATATCCAACAGACCCACAGTGTTTCTCTTACAAATGATTAAAATCATTTTACTAAAAAAAAAAATCTTTTTTATTGTGAACTGGGTAAAGGTTTACAGAGCAGATCAGTTTTCCATTCAACATTCATGCACATTTAGTTTCATGTCATTGCAACCTTCACAATGAAACATCATCTATGCTAGTTCTTCCCGGTGCTTTCTGTTTCCATTCCTCCTCATTTTCTAACACGTCTGAACTTTGTCTCAGGGTAAACACTGCCCTTTTGATCTCATATGGTTGTTTGATCTGAGAAGTGCACACTTCCCTAGAACTACTGTGCCCCTTATAGACCTGTCTATTGCTTAGCTGGGAGTGGAGTCACAGGGTGAGTTCATTTCCAGAACTGAAGGATGGCTAGAAACCATAGTCTCAAGGGTTCCACCAGTCTCTATCTGACTGGTAAGTTTGGTTTTATTTATGATTTTGAGTTTTGTTCCACATTTTTCTTCCACTCTATCCAGGACCTTCTATGATTAAGATTATTTTTAAAGAAGAGAGACACAATCAGAACAGGAAAAAAAAAACCCAAAAAACTCTCCAATGAAATGGGACAGACATACCAGGAGGTTCTCTGGCTTGATGTCTCTGTGCACAATGCTGAGGCTGTGCAGATACCTGAGGGCATTGGCGAGGTTGTACACCATGGCGCTGCCATCTCTCTCTGTGTACTTAGTTGAAGAGGTAATTGCATCAAAGAGATCTCCACCCTAAAGAACACACAAGAGAGCACATAATCAGCATACTGAGGTGATCCTATGAAGGTAACAAAGATGGTTCTTCAGCCTGAAATGAATGCAAAAATGACACAAGTGCTGTGAGAATGGATGAATTATAAGTAATGAAATTTACAAGGCAGCAGAACACTTTGCTGATTAGGTACTTCGAGAATATTCTAACTCTTAGAATTTAGCACCAAGAAAATCTCTCCATCCTCTTACTTTGACCAACTCCATCACCAGAAAGAGTTCAGTAGCCGTTTCCATTTCCTCCACCAGCATGATGATGTTGGGATGTTTCACTTGGCGCAGGATTGACACTTCATTTTCAATCAGGTGTTCCTGTCAAGTGAAGGGTTCAGAGATGTGCATCAGAAACCACAGCAACCTAGGCTCTGTACCTGTGGACTGGAGGCAACACAACACCTTGAGGGAATTAGCTGCGGTCCACGTTTTCAAGACCACAGTCACAGGGAACATCACAGTCAACTGGCATAACATAGTCCACAAAGACAATGTTCTAAATTGTATTTTGGTAAGCAGTTAGTAGGATCTTAAAAGTCCGTGAACAACCACCTAGGATGCAACTATTGGTCTCTCCCTGTCCAAAAGAAGAATGAATAAAGTCAAAGATGCTAAGAAACAATCAATGCAAAAGAATAAAGGACCAAGTGAACCTCTGGTCTCGTCTAAGACCAGAATTAGATGGTGCCCATCTACCACTACTGACCACTCTGGCAGGAGCATGATAGAAGGTCTGGGACAGAGTGGGAGAAAAATTGAGAACAAAACTCAAAATAATTTTTAAAAGATGAGACTTACTGAACTGATAGAGACTGGTTGTTGTTGTTGTTGTTAAGTACCGTGGAGTCGGTTCCGACTCATAGTGACCCTGCACAGGGTTTCCGAGGCTGTAAATCTTTATGGGAGCAGAACACCTCATCTTTCTCCCATGGAACTGCTGGTAATTTTGAACTGATGAGCTTGAGGTAGGCAGCCCAACTTGTAACCACTACTAACCAGAGCTCCTTGACAGAGACTGGTGAAGCCCCCCAGATGACGACCCTTAGACAAACTTCAGGAGTAGAACTGAACTCACGCTATGGCTCAACTTTGAGCCAGACAACAGACTGACCTATAAGGTGAACAGTAACACCAGGGCTCCTTAGAACAAACAACCTTATGAGATCAACAGGATAGTATTTGCTCAGGGATAGAGTTCATAAGGCAGGAAGGGATAACAAAGAAGGCCAGATGGAAATAGTAAACACAGGGAGGAAGTGGGATGAAGGCTGTTACATTGTAATGATTGTTGCAGTCAGTGTCACAAAATCGGTATGAATTGTCGAACACAAAGACAACCTTTTCTATAAAACTTTCACCCAAATCACAGTAAGGAAAAAAAAAGAAAGTGAACAAGTTCTGAAGTTACATGGGCTTGCATATGGGCCTGCTTCTATGACTTCCTAGTATATTGACTGTGGACAAGTTATTATCTCTGCATCTCAACTCTGTAAAATGTAAAATCTGTAAAATGGGGAAAACGATAACTTCATTGAGGGTTGCCCTAAGGATTATACGAAATAAGGTATGAAAAATGCTTAGAGAATAGTAGTCACTTCATAAATAAAAAATTTAAAATGGTTATTCTGTAGAGTGAAGTGCTTTAAAAAAAAACAAAAAAGTCTATAGGAACCGAAACTAAAGGACCATCGCTCTTGGCACAGATTAAAGCCAAGTCCCAGCATGAGGGTTTTCAGAGATAGCATAAGCCACTGCCTCAGAAGGGCTCAATGAGGCCACCGCACACACAGAACACAGACCTTATCTGTCCTTCCCCTCAACTCCTTAAAAGGCTATGATACCAAAGCTTGTAAAGCAGCTAGGACCACACAATGTCACCTGCAACAGATGCTCTTTCAGCTAAGTAGAAAAAGTGCTAGGTTCAAGCCACGGTCCCTCAATGGTCCCAGAGAATAATTTACCATCATGTAAGCACTCAGGAAAGACCCAAACAGAGGTTCCATATATTGGCAAATATGACGGTGGTGGTGGTTGGTGGTTATGTGCCATGGAGTCATAATTGACTCATAGCGACCCTGTACAGGGTTTCTGAGGCTGTAAATCTTTACGGGAGCAGAACGCCTCCTCTTTCTCCTGTGGAACAGCTGGCAGTTCTGAACTGCTGACCTTGTAGTTCGCAGCCCGATTCGCAACCACTACGCTACCAGCGCTAACCTACTGCCTTCTAAGTGATGTTTACAACACTCTCTAACTTCAGGATATGCACAGAACTGTAAGTAAATTTGACATGCTTATGGCATACAACTTCTGGCATTAAAATATTTTTAGCTTTTACACTGTGACCAATATGAATTTGCATTTCATGTTGGAATTCAGTAAAAGAGACTTTCTTCCTCAATGACTATTCATGAAATCATTTACCAGATGAACGTCCTTTATCATCTGAAAGTTTAGGAATATGGAATTACATAGTACCACAGGGGCCACTATTCTCATTTTCATGCTCATCATTTCTCCTCTGAAACTAGCACCCGATTATCTCAATCCTAGTGAGTAATGGAGTTGGGATCAGCACTGTAGCAAATGTTTACTCACAGAATTAAGTAATTACTCTCAATACACCACAAGCCATGAATCATAAACAACTGCTCCATTTGTTACGAGCCATGAAAATCTCTAAACAGTGCCATATTTGTTAATCATCATTAACTTTAATGAATTATTTTGAGTTTAGAGAAGGCTCAGTAAAAATTGCTAATGGTCTTCTAATACAGTCGAGACATATGCGTAAAAAATATTGCTACTAGGGTTCTAATATATGCACAGGTTTATTTATCCCCCAAACAACATGCTTAAACATCTCTCTGCAACCAGTAGATGGCTGCAGACACATTCTCTTAGTGGTACATTTGTCTTAGTCTCCTTGTTGTTAAGTGCCATCGAGTTGGTTCCAACTCAGAGCGACCCTGTATAGGGTTTTCGAGGAACGGATGGCAAGTTTGAACCACCAACCTTGCGGTTAGCTGCTCAGTGCTTATCCTACTGAGCCACACCAGGACTCCCTTAGTCTCCTTATGGTCCAAAATCAAAACAGTGGCTTCTGAGGGGATCTGCTGAGCTAATTCAAATCAAGGCAAAGAAGTTAGCTCAGAAGTTTTTGATTTTTTTTTTTTTTCAGATTCCAAAAGGATTAATCCTGACAGATTTTCTCAAGGCTGCTAACTTTCTCCTTTCCTAATATTTCTGAACTCTGTCCTTGGGTAAACACCACCCTTTTGATCTCACATGGGTGTGTATTCTGAGGCATGCACACCTCCCTAGTGTTACTGTTCCCCTTATAGACCTGTCTATTGCTTAGCTGAAAAGTGAGCCACAGGGGTGAGATCATTTCCAGACCTGAAGGGTGACTAGAGGCCATAGTCCCAGGGGTTCCATTTCTTAAAACTTCTTCCCAGCAAATTAGGAAGAAGTTTTAAGAAAACTATATTGTTAAGGAAAAGGCTAGAATTTTTCTCCATCACAGCCATGCGTTTGCTCATTCTTTGAGGGTAGCCAGGGCTGTCCTATGAGAATTTCATTAGGAAACCTTATCCCACCCACCCTACAGCCCTGATCTTGCTCCTTCTGACTTCTTTTTGTTTCCTAAACTCAAAAAACATTAAAAAGGAACATGTTTGAGTCCCTCAATGATGCCAAAACTGCTGTCTTGAAGTGGTGTGAATCAAAGACCAGAAAATTCTTCAGGGAAGGATTAATAAATGGAAATACTGCTATGCTGAGAAACTTACGTGTGTGTGTGTGTGTGTGTGTGTGTATGTAAATAAACATATGCAGATGTGGTTGTTGTTAGTAAGCACCATCGAATCAGTTCTGACTCATACCGACCCGACATAGGGTTTCCAAAGAGCAGATGGGTGGTGGTGGTTATGCACTGTGGAGTCGGTTCTGACTCATAGCGACCCTGTACAGGGTTTCCGAGGCTGTAAATCTTTACGGGAGCAGAAAGCCTCATCTTTCTCCCGTGGAACAGCTGGTAGTTTCGAACTGCTGACCTTAAGGTTCGCAGCCAAATTCGTAACCACTATGCTACCAGAGGTGGATTTGAATTTTTGACCTTGTCGCCACACCAAGAGTCCTACGTACACAACCATACTGATACCTATCATATTTCCCATTTTGCCTTTGCTATTACGCATTTCAGAATTAAATTTAGTAGTGCACTGCAGTAAGAATATTATTACTTTATCCTTACTTCATGATATTACAGTTTCTCTCATCTTCACATATCCATGTATACATGTATTTTTACTTTTGTTGTTCAGCCCAATGCATTATCCTGCGGTGCCACACCAAGACTCTAAGTCAACTCAAATCCTTTCTGACAACAGATGGAGGCATACATGATAACAAATGAATAACATGCAAAGAGTCTAGAACATCTAATGTAGTGTTGATTACACATTATGACAACCTCATGTGTCAAAGTAGAACTGTGGGCCACAGGATTTTCAAGCGCTGATTTTTCAGAAGTAAACCACCAGGTTTTTCTTCTGACACACCTCTAGGTGACTTGATGCTCCAACCTTTTGGTTAGCAGCCTTGTGTTGACCATTTGCACCCCTGGGTGTCCTGTCCAAATAGTCACTGATTAACTGTTGGCAAAAGACAAGGCAAATGCTAAAGAGAAATAGGGGAAAGAAAGGAACCAACGCTGACTATGAATCTACTCACTATCCGTACCCAGGCAAAGTACTTATATACTATTCTAATGCTTTATTCTTATCAGTCCTTTCAGTAGGAATTCAAACCCAGATTTCTGACATGCAAGATTTTTGTACTATACATCATCACTTTTCAAAGACAAATGCTTTAAGAGAACCTAGTTGGATTTTCAAAATGACAATGATGGTAGTAACAAATGAGATTCTTTAACTTCTTGAAAAGGTAGAAACACACAATAGTATCACACTGAGTTGGCATTTATGGCAGAACCATACCAGGTCTTGTGGGAGGAAAAGCTGTGCTCCTTTTAATGAGCAGAGCTGGGTAAGTGTCTGACCTGGCTTATTCCTCAGCAAACTCCTCCAAGTCTAACTGAAAAATGGCTGTTCCCAGACCCTAACAAACCTGGACGAGTTTGCTACAGCTTTCTACTGTTTCCAAGTCCCATCAGTTTACGTTACAAAGTTGCAACAAAAAACTACAGACTTCTGGTCTCTCCTGTAGGGAAGCAGCTATGCAGCCAGCATTATTATATGTTACAAAGACAAAAGAAAAGACCTGGCAAATCCTTCACAAATTTGCACATATTTTCAACC